ATGCAAAATATTTTCCTTCTTATCTAATCTTTTATAATCGCTAAATCCAGTAATTATTATTCCAATACTTTTCTCAGCAATCGTTGGCCCTCTTTTAAGTATTTTCTCCTGCCTTTCTTTAAGTTGTATTAATTTCTCTAAATCATCTTCTTGTTCAATAACTTCATCGGAACTAATATCATCAGATAAAATCGGCGTTGTTAAGCTTTTAATTCGTCTCCATAAATTGACAAGATGCCTTTTAGCACAAATCTTATCATCATCACTAAGTAATACCTGTAATATTTAAGGATTTATATTGTTTATATTTAAATATTCCATAAAATAACAATTTTAATATAAATCTAAAATAATTAATTTACTAAGCTTTTAATTAACCTTGTATCTTGGGTCCAGGTATATGGCAGCTAAGAGAATTTCGTTCTTTATAAACCTTTCTTCTCTGTTTTTAAGACAAGAATATAGTAATTGAGCAAAATGGTTTGGATTTTTTTCCAGTAAGATGCAGCATCTTAACCATGCTGCATAAAAATCTGTCAGTGTTAACTGTTCAGATTGGAATTGTTTGGTTGCGATTTTTAGCGGTTTTAAAATTTCAACAATCGTTATTATCTCTTTCCAATCTTCAGTCAATAAATAATCAGATTGCTCTGAAAAAAATCTTCGATATTGGGTTTTAGTAAAATCAGCCTTTCTAACATATCATGGGTTGAATGCCATCTGTGGCAATCTAACACAGGCTTAGGGAGTTTCATATTTTTTAATAACTTTTGGTAAGTGGGATGTCTTAATTTTAAATTTAGGCTCCTAGCTTTTGCAATGGTTTCCACAATAGGTGATAATTTTATAGCATCTTGAAGTGCCAGCTGAAGTGTGTGAGCTGCACACCGTACACTATAAATCGGATAGGATATAACAGTTAATAAAAAAGTATTTTGTATATCATCAATATCATATTTATATACATTTACATCCATATTTTCCTCATCTGCTGATTCACTCCTTACATCATAATCAGTTTCAAGTTGCAGGAGCTTTATAGCTCTTAAAAAATTACAACCTTTATCAGAAGTAATTGTGTATATTTGTTCAATATTAATTTTAAATTTTAGTAAAGTTTTTAATATATTCTCTTTTATATATTCTATTGTACATCTCTCTTTCAGCTCTACAATTCCAAGAGTCCTCAAATTTATAATGGACTTTGATATAAATTGAATATTTACACCAAGAATTGACCTATCTAGTCGTTGAACTGCATCAACTTTTAAACTTATTAATTTTCCTTTTACCTCTCTCGATATTTTGTCTCTAATTGATTGGGCTGTTTTATTAATAGTTCTGGATAAATTTTCTTTGTTTATAACTAAATTGAGCCCAGATAGGAGTGGATTTATAATTCTTTGAAATCCCGAATCTTCAATAATTGATAAAGCCATTTACAGTAACAAGTTCTAGTATAGAACTCATCAAATCTTTAGATGATATATTTATACTTATATGCTTTTTTGGAAAAAAGGTTTCTATATTAATTTTAGGTTTTTTTGCCAATAACAATTCCTGATATTTGGTTTTTTCATTTAAATAATTTAAATATTCATTGTTGTGATTTCTTTCCAGGTGACTTTCTAAATTTGACAAGTGATTACCAGACATTTTTACTTTGCAATAAGAACATATTGATTTTTTTTCTATTGTATTAAGGGTAAAATGCTTATCAAATATGACTTTATCTTTAATCTTAAATCTATAAAAAGAGAACAATTTTTTTAAATAGCAATGATTTCAGAATTAAAAAAGAGATATTTATAAATTTAATTTCATTTATAATATGCACTTCATTAATATCTTGTAAAAATTAATCTGAACCAAAAATAAATGATTAGCATATATAAATTTTAAAATCATTTTAATAAGTTCACAAAAACTGCCCTACATTTAACAATTTTTAAGTTAGATGTTTAGAATTTTTTAAATTAACAATATAATAATTTTTACTTTGATTTGTTAACCATTTTCTTCTAATTAATAATCTTTAAGAATAATAAGATAAAAATTTAAAAATAAATGGCGTAAATTAATTCAATTGTTTAAAATATACACTGAACCCGCTTGAACCCGGGTTCAAATAAAATTCTTGGGTTCGGTTCGGGGTTTTGAAAATTTTATAAATGGGGTTCAGGTTCGGTTCGGGTTCAGAGTTTTTTCCTAAAAACCCGGGTTCACTTCTCCGGGTTCGGTTCGAATCCCTGTCCTCAGCAATATAAGATTTGCAATCTAAATTTTAAATAGTTAAACATTTTAAAAGGGGGTATATCATTAAATTATTTTTCTGGCATCCCCTTCCTGTAGAGCCTGGCATAATTTCCTTCTTTTTTCTTTTTTTTCTCTTTAGCTTTCACCTTTTCTGGTGCTCCTTCAACATCTCTCTCCACTTTATGTTATTCATACAATCTCTTATATCTAATTTATACTTCTTTATATTGGCTCTAACTTTATGGCCCCATTGAAGTTTTGGCCTTCCTCTTTTACGTTTGCTCATCACTTTCAAGCTCTCAACCTTATTTCCTATGTAGTTCATAGGCCTTCTCATTGTGTGCCCATACCACTTAAGTCTGTTTACCATTAACTTAGTCTACCTTTAAACTACTTAGTATTCTTGTACTGCGCACTTTATCCTTTCTTGTTACCCCAGCAATCATCCTCAGCATTCTCATCTCCATAGTTTGTAGACTTCTCTCGTCTGATTCCTTGGTTGGCCATGTTTCCGAACTATATAGAATAGTTGGTTGTATTATGGAACTGTAAATTGTTCCCTTTAATTTGTGTGGGATTCTTTTGTCAAATAGCACTTTTAACCACCCATGATTAATTTTACTCTTTATCTCTTTTTGCCGTTTGTTTGTATAGTGGAGCCCAAATATTTGCAGCTTTCAATTGCCGATATCTGCCATTCATTTATATCAATACTCTCTGTTTCATCTCCTCCTATCACCATATATTCCGTCATTTCTCTATTTACTTTTATTCCGTGCTTTTTTAGGATATTTATCTAATTCACTAATCTTTCTTTCATTTCATCCTTGGATTCGGCAAGTATCACAATATCATCTGCAAATATCATATTCCACGGGACTGTTTGAGGTATAGATTGTGCTAATACATCTATTACTGTAATGAAGAGAAGTGGGCTGAGAGCCGATCCTTGATGAATTCCTTCGGCTATTGTGAAGCCTGCTGAAGTACCAGTTGTGCTACGGACCATTGTTGTATGGCCCATATACATATCCTGTATTATTCTTATATATTTTTCGGGAACCTTTTGTGGCGTAGCGCCCACCAGATAAATTTTCCGGGATTCTATCGAAGGCCTTTTCTAGATCGAGAAATTTTTTGCAGCTTTCTCAACTTATTTTGGCCAGATGAATTATTCTGTTTCACCTAAGCATCCATCCTTTAATCTGATTCACCGACCTGGATTTTATTTGATTTCAATGAATTAAGAACAAGAAATGTTGGCTATATTATTTCTACAATAAATCAATGTATAAAAATGTAATATAATGAATTAATCAAAACTTAGCTTTCACTCTACTCAAACGGAAGCGTTTTTACTTCATTTAAAAAAAAGCAAAGAAAAAAACGAGGTAATGATGTATAGCGTCAAGCGACGTTACTGGTATTTTATGCATTAAATTATAGTAAACGACATGACAATTGTCAAGGAATGTGATATTCAAATCATAGAGATATCATTAAAAATAAATAAATGATAATAGTAAATAATGTGAACATAATAATATATTTTTTTTCTAATCGGCCTCTTTTTTGATATTTTCCTCTGATCGGCCTCAAAAATCGACATTTAACGCGGCCTCGTGGGCAAAATGCCCACCTGGTCTTATACCCAGTCCGCCCCTGCACAAGAGTCATAATTTGGTGCTCTAAAATTCTAATTTTGATCCCTAATTTTGCCCCCTCGTCTGCAAGGAATGAATTTTTGCTTGATTGTTGATATCAGGATAAGTTCGAAAAAATGTGATAAGATAAGGATTTTATATATATACTACTTAAACTTATATCTTTATTATCTTAAGAAATCGGGAGAGGGGGTGGGGGAATACATACTATATCTGTCCCTAGCGTTTATGCCGAGACCGAAAAATATATATCGAGAATATTATGAGAAACTATAAATAAATGACTAACATTAAATATTATCTTGATCTCATGATTTATAATAAATTTTAAAATAATCTGCTGCATTTTTGAGAGCCCTGCATCAAACCTATTTTTTCAGGTCCGACAAAATTCCCCATATAGATTAAGTTTCGTTCCGATCGGATCCGAATTTTTATTATTGGACTGTTAAACAAATATACAATGTTCCAAAGGAAAAGATTTAAAAAATTAACAAATATAAACTATATTTTTAAAATTCCGGAGGAGAACCAAAAATCGGAACTGGGCCGGGATTGAAAATTGGAAATTTTTTTAATATCCGGGGAGTGTAGTTCACATAAGATTTAAAATAAATCAGATAGTTCACAACAACACCCATTTATTGTACAAAAAAAGATCCTTTAAACTATGACTCTTTGATTTGACCAAAAAATATGATAAATGTATTTGCATTAAAAAAATGCATATTCTTAATATATATGGCTACGAAATTTTATTACATTTGAATTATTAATTTTTCTTAAACTTATTTCTAAACTTAAAATCAGTGAATGTACCGATACCATTTTCGATACCGAAATACTGTCGAGTAGGAGGGGAAGGGGCGATTCTACCGATATTTATATGAAAAATTACTTGAAAATCTACAATAACAACCATATTTTATTTTATTTAAATTTAATTAAATTAAATTCGTAAACCTCTTTTTTATATAAAAAAATTTATTTTAGAAGGAATGAAAATTTAATAAAAAGTTCTTTAGTAGTACATATAATATTTAATTAATAATGATTAAAATAAAAGTTAAAAATATATACCAGAACTTGAAATGGCACAACAGAGTCGTCCAGCAACATGGCTTTACAAATCATCTTTTTATGATGTAGGTTCCTTTTGCCGACTGGTCCACAGCCACTTTTTTTATCTTCTCTGTCTTTGCCATTCATTATAGATTTCTGATTTATAGGTAAAGATTTTTTATTCGATTTAGGAGACGGGGATAAGGTTATCGTCATTTTTTTACTCGTAATTTATAGGGTATATGAATCCAGAAATTTTAATCAAAGTATATGCGGTAGTTCTAGGATGATTATAGCGATAGGATATTGATTTTTTCCTATTTTCTAATTTTAATTTGTCTAACTATTTTTATAGTGTAAAAGAATTTTTTTGACTGACTGAAAATATAAAAAATTTAAAGGCCATAAAATGAATCAATAAATTTAATTTAATTATTGTCTTTTTTACGATTAAACAAGTTTAAAATTTGAAATCTATATTAAAAAAAATTTTTAAATTTTAATTTAAAGATTATTTAAATAATTTATGGGAAGAATAAGTTTAGTGATTTTATAACGGTATGAATTTATCGTCATTAAGGGGGTATGGAATATATGGATAGAATGTTAGTCTTCGAAGATAGTATTGCAACATTTGTCGCTCCTATATAGGCGTCAATTTTAACCTTAAAAAAATTATGATAATATTATACAAATAAACAGCTTATAATATTTTTCAAGGAGTAATAAATTTAAAAGATTAAATGAAAGCGGGAGGCGTTAAAAAGAATTCGTAATATTATTTATTAACATTTTTTTTATTCAAATTTATTAAGCGAGAAAGAAAGATTAGCTCCAATCAGTGGAGTACTAGACACCCCCCCCCCCAGACCCCGTACCCGATTTATTGCAGATTACGGGAGTTAAGAATTTGCATAGAGGGGGGGGGGGCTAATAAGTTTAAGAAAATTTCAATAAAAATAATTAATTAAACATAATTACAATTATCATGCTTTTACAATATTTAGCATATAATAATTTCAAAAAAGCCTTGAGTTTTATATTTCATTTTGTGTTCAATGGACTTTAATAGCCAAGATATTATCGGAAATTTTTTTTTGGCTGTGTGCTATATTATTTATTTTATCATATTATTATTTTTTGTGTGTGATAAAGAATTATATTTTTTGGTGTAGGCATATATATAAGCTTAACTTTTGCCTCTTTAAAAAAATAGATAAAATTTAATTTATAAAATCTCGCAATAATCTTTGGTTTCTAAAACAAAATTAAATTTTTAAAAGTTTTATATTTTTTTTTGATAAGTGGGTAGCTATTGAGACATTATTTTAAATATAACTAGATCTCTATGACTTTTTAACTCACTAACCCTAAAACCTCGTCCAAGACGTTTATTTCAGAAAAATATTGGTCACACTGAGATTAAACAAAAAAAAATTATATTAAAAGATAGATGGCGTTACCCGCTTACCATATTATTATATTCTTACTGATAGGGTATTTTACTATCATCAAACATGATAACATAATTAATAATTTTTTAAGATAAAAATAAAAACAAAAATAATTAGGTTTATAATAATGCTTTTTTAGCTTATAATTTAAAAATAGTATAAAATTCTCCCTAAACTTAAAAAAAAGTAGTTTAAAAAAATAAATAAGTAAGAATTGACCAAAATTTGACATACAAGGTATGAGCATAATTACTCAAAAATTTTAATTAATTCCTCTTTCAAATTTTTTTATAATCAATTATATTTACTAATTCCTTTTTTTAAAACGATAATTAATTACTTGTAATAGTGCTGGAGTAATTATAATTACATAATTACAAGTCCTTTTTTAGTAAAATAAAAAATTAATAAAGTAGGATTTGATTAAAAATCATATAAAATAACGAGAAACTTTATATATGATATATAATATAATTATAGTAATATTTTTTTCTTTATTATAATTTTTTTATGTTTGAAAAATATGAAGGTTTTACTCGTTCAATATAAAGTAGAAAATTATCATAAACATTATATTTATATATTCGATTATAATAAATGCAATCAAATTCTGTGTTACAAAATAGAATATCATTTATGATGTCTAGGTATAAATAGATATATGAGCATTAACATCTGAAGCTATTTCCTAATCGACAAATGATATCGAATATATTTTTAACTAATATTTAACAAAAAACATTAAATTTTTATTAAAAGCATCAATTTTTTAAATACGTTATTTAAACGTGTTCTATCATACTATTTAGTAAAGTTTCAAAGCTACATAGTCTTTCTACAGGTGAGGATGAAGACAACAATGTATTATAATTTTTTTAATCGTTGGAAAACTTTCAACATTTTTATGACCTCTATCATCTTTTAGATAAGTAAGCATCATAGGTTCAGTTTAATTGGATTTGGGATAGGACAAAATTGAATAAATTATCATTATTGTTTTTAACAATTTCAGGACTTTAGATTTAGAAATATTTATTGAAACAGCTTCAGATATTATTTATGATTTTAAATCAATTTGTTAGCTATTGAACTCATTTAAGCTTAAAATATGGGTGTTATATAATAGTAAGAAAGCAGAGCTTAATTTACAATCAAAGTCTGAAGATCTTGTAATCCTAATAGCCTTTAAAAAAGTTACACAATGACGTAGGGAAGAGTTTTTAAAAGAATTCGGATTGAATATTGACAATTTAGATTAATCTTCTACTGAATGTAAGATTGTATTCGAAGGCAATTATCAGTTTTCATCAGAGTTCAAGATTAAAGTTCAGAATCACTTATATTTCCGCTAAAAATATGAATTAAAATTGCAATTTTAATAGTTTTAAAAAAATGTTAATTGCAATTATTAAGCTTCTTTCATTAAAAAATAATTAAATAATAAAAAGAATTATAATTGTAATTATGAATTATAACTGCTAATTACTAATTACATGACTGAAAAATATGATTAACTATCATTAATAACTCCCTTTTTTAGGTGCCAATAATTGCCGTTACTATTTACTATAAAGGAATTGAAATTATGAAATTAATTACATATGCAATGCAATTAATTACTGCCTGCTATAACTTACGATAAGGATATCAAGCTTACTATTTAAACAAACCAACGTGCAAATTCAAAGACGATTTGAACAAACCGACGTATGAACACAATTAACATTTGGACAAGCCAATGATTACTGACTTATGCAACAACTTGAACAACCAAAACGATAAACCATTTGAACAACAAGCTCTCTACTAAAGCTTAGATGAAATTATGGAAAAGCTTTTCAAAGAGAGTGAATGTTGAATAATAATATTTAATTTATTTAACAGTTATTCAAATTATACTTTTATTTTTACTTTTACTTTTCGTTTGATGATTTAACCTTTTCTTATAAATTTGTGATTTATATATTTTAATTTCTAGATATAAAAATGTATATATATTATTAACATTTTAAGAAAATTTAGTTAAAATTAATTTTAAGAATAAAATTATATAGCTCACAGAAACAGTAGTTATATTTTTAAAACATGGCATCCCGGGTGGGGAAAACCATGTTTGGAGAAAAAAAAATTTCTTCAGGTCTTCTTTACCTGGGAAATCAAAATTTTTAAATTCAGATTACTTATAAAACAAAACATTATCTCCTGGTCCCGGAAAAAAAAACTCTCCGGTAATAAAAATTTCTTTTTTTGAATACCTGATATATTTTTTTCTTCCATTTCGTCGTAATGGGGAAATTTAACATGCAAAAATAAAAAAAAAATTTATTCAGGTCTTCTTTACCTGGAAAATCAAAATTTTTAAATTCAAATTACTTATAAAACAAAACATTATCTCCTGTCCCGGAAAAAAAAACTCTCCGGTAATAAAAATTTCTTTTTTTGATATATTTTTTTTCTTCCATTTCGTTGTAATAAGAAAATTTAACATGCAAAAATAAAAAAAAATATTCTTATCAACATTCAGTATATAAAGGTAAAAAATTGACAAATTTTTATTAAGTAAAATTTAAACATTTCGATAAATCATCTGAATCTATGTTTGCTTTCAGAATTACCAATATCCCCCGCTGTATATCAGTCCATGATATTCTTTTTGAGTTTACCGACAATCCTGACATAGATTATATACGTGAACCCAACGCGTGGGAGTCCTTTTTGAATTCTACAACTTAAAAAATATGTTGAAATATTATGAGGCCCTTAACGGGAAATTCTATATATTTGGGGACTCAGAATTCATGCAGATTACGCTCATCTTTATTAAAATATGAATGATAATGCTTTTTAGATATACCATTGATTATTTATCTTTATAGAAACAAATGTTAACGTTTTTTTGAAACTTTATTAATTAGCGAATCAAATAAACAATAAAAAAAATTTTAAATTATTATTAATGGATATTAAACATACCTTAGTATACACGTGTACTTGATTATTTTACGACCAGCACATCATCTGACTCTGTTAAAATAAGTACTCTCTCCAAACCGACGTAGGATAGAAATATTTTAAATAATAAATTTAATCTAGCTTATCAAGGCCCAAATAAAAATTTTCTTGAGTGGTACGTAAGACTGTCCAAATTAAATAAAATAATGTTTTTTTAGACGATAATTGCATTAAAGAGAAGCTAAGAAAGTCCATTTTAAATGACAACATAAAATATAAATTAAGTAAAGATATTAATTTAACCTTAAATGAAATGGTGGAGATAGGGAGTTGGTTAGATAGCATTAATATTAAATCAGATATTGATAACGTAAGTTATGTTAATAAGGATAAAAAGTCCAATAAAGATAAAAACTTTAATATTAGAAATAATGAACATAAAGGTTTAGTTAACCAAAACACTTCCGATAACATTTTTCCTTGATACAATTGCAGGAATGATAACAATAATTATTATAGACCTAATAACTTTTAGAAACAATTTTAGACAAAATTATGATAATAGAGAAAACAATTATAATAGGAATAGGAATTACGATAATAATAATTTTAGCCATGATAATTATAATAATAGCAACTATAGTAACTATCGCTACAACAATAGTAATCAATCTAATTAAGACAGAAATAATACATGGCATGATAATAATCAGAGGAAACAGATCCAATACGATGATCGAAATCGCAATAATTACCAATCATAGAGTAACAACTCAAATTATTATAGAGGAAGTGATCACAATCAGAGAAAGCAAATAAATATAACAACAACAACTATAATATGAATATTGAAGAAATTGTTGAAGATAAAGTCGACTCTACAAAAAATAATGAAGATAATGATATATTAATAACTTAACTGAGGACAAGCTTAATGATAAAGATAATGCATTTATGACTACTTTAAAAGTAAATGATGTTATAACAACGATGCAAGTCGACACAGGCTCCAAGTTCACCATAATACCTCAAGAAATGGCTAAAAAAGTTGGCATTAAAGAAATTAAAAAATCCAAGTTGCAACTTACCGCCTATGATGGAAACTTAATTAAGATCATCGGCATTACGCAAGTCAAAGTGACTTATGAAGGCATCACGAAATATTTACAAGTGGTAATAGTTGATTCAAGAAAAAATGCCTTGTTAGGACGTACATGGATCAAGGCCTTCAAGAATATTTTGAATAAATTTATAGCAAA